CGCCTGCAGCTATCAACATCTCAACTGTGGCATTTTGTCACACACACACACACACACACACACACACACACACACCTTGCCAATTTCATTTCCCACAGCACAGCCACTTGTTAGTGTCAGACTGAGAAACTCCTCAGATGTAATGCAATGACGAAAAAGTTGATGAATTATTAAGAGCACTCGGCTCAATGATATTTGCATAGTGTATAATCTGCAGGGCAAACATTGAGAGTGCCTCTCCTCTAGCGATGCAAGACCCATTAGCTTAGCTGACCCACAAAGGAAAATGTACAATGAAATGAAAAAGGAACAGCAAACACAAAGACTGTGTCGAAAGACTTTAGATTACATTTGCAGGCGTTTGTAGATACTGAAGGCATTGTATTGTGCATCCAATCTTAAGACATAAAAGAATGATCAAAACCAATGTTACTGGTAGCCCTCTGACTGGGAGAGGAAAGAAGAAAAAGAATGAGGAAGAAAAGGTTAAGGGCAGTGAGGATAACACAAGATGAAGAAAGAAGCAGGTGACACCACAAAGAAGAAGAAACTGAGTCCAACTGTGAGCTGTCTGCCTATACGAAGGGATTACGGCTCCAGCTAGTAGCCTGAGAGACACTTCACACGTCACTGTGGCTGATCAGCTCTTAATGCTTATTCTGGATTGCACTTGTTTGGCCAGGCACTGGTACCTGCTTCTGCGAAGCCAAAAGGAGTAGTCAAACTAACTAAGACAGAGACATTACTGGGTGGCAGACATACCAGAATAATGCTATACAACAATATAATTATTTGCATGTTGTTTAGAAAAATATTAGTTTATCAATGTGCAAATGTGTTTAAATATGGCTGCAGTGCCTTGGCAAGATTCACTAAGACCGGAGGTAAAAAAAAAAAAAGTGGCGGATTACTGACTCATAGGGGTGGAAATCTCTCTGCACCTTATGATTCAGAGAGCTAATATTCGATTGTTAAACAATCATCGCTGCATCAAAGAATAAGTGTTTTTATCACTGTGTGACTACTAGAGTGTGCGTCTTCACCAGCCTTTGCTTCAGAGGTATTTTACACTGTTACTGTTACAGGTGTGCTGTAATTTACAATAAAAGCTCTTCAATTCTGAAATCTAGGCTAAAGATTAGCCCCCATGGCAGCATCGAGGTGCATTACTCTGCCAGTCAACCAGAGATTCTGCTCCTCTGTTATTTTCGACTCACTCAATACATTTCCCCACCACTACTGACTTAGTAGGCAGAGCAGAGGGAGGAGAACAGACGGCTATAATGGTTCATGCCTAGGCCTTTCTATTACCATGGGGGTATAAGGACAAATGCTTAAATTGGCAACTCAAAGCGAAAATGAACTTGCAAGCTGGTTAGTAGGATCTAGTTTTCTTTCACCTCTGCTTGGTGGGATCCACCACTGAAAGTGATGGTGGCACAATACAAATATCTGGAAAAAGTCCTCTTCACAATATAAGTCTCAACAGTTAATAGCAATAGCAATAGCAACAGGTGGATTAGGTGGTTGAGATAACCTTAAATCTAAAGCTTATTTTATATATCCATAGCATTCAGTGTTTTAGGGATGCTATGAGTTACTATTCATTTGAGTGAACCAACACAGGTAATAAGTTTACCTATGGATAGAGATTCTGGATTGTGGTCAAATAGAAACTCTAATGTTGTCAAGAAGAATAAGATCAGTTTGTTGTTTTCAGATTTGATTCATATATCTGTTCCCTCTCTTTGCAAAAAAGGTTATCGTCATAGAGGTAGTGTTACTTACTGCCCCAGAGAGGTATATCCTTGCTCTCTGCCTTCATGACAATCGAGGCCATCGTCATGGTGACAGGGATGGCATCAAAGTAAGATGAGTGGGGTGCCAGGGTGAGGATGGGTGCCTCTGCCGGCAGCGCCTTTTGCCCTTTCACAGTAATCCAATGGAAACCTCCCGCAAACCACATGACCCGCATGATGATCTTCAGAATTATGTCCACCAGTCTGGAAACAAAATTCATACATGATGTGTAATTTCATTTAAAAAAAGCCTGTAGACACACTTACATTGATATAATTGACTTTGCTATAATATTTGCCAATAAGCTCTAATGACAAATACTGTATAATATAAAAGACGCTTATTTCCAATGACAGGGTTAAGTAGAGTTAAAGTTATGAATTATTGCAGAAAATAAACAAGGTTAGTGTGCCATGAAAAGAAAGATAACACCACTATAACACCAAGAACTAACACCTTAACTCCCTGTGAGGCACATCTCCACAATGTGTAAATTCAGACATTACTGCAATTTAGCACATTGAGTCTGTAATCTGCCTTTGCCCTGTGAGACTGGTGAGATTCCAAAACTGAGGTTTACGATTTAACCGTCATCTAGACCAACTTAGAATCTAACCAGGATCTTAACTTTAATAAGTTGAAAGCGAAACATCATAAAAAAAGTTTTAAAATCATAAGGCACAATTCCTCATAATTAAACCGAAATACAAGATTAGAAAACAAAACAAAACTCAGTAGTTGTCAGTCGGTGTCATTAAGATGCTCCAATAGAAAAACACATAATAGTAACTATCCCTTTATATGCTGAATCACGGTAGGACAATGTCAATTGCTACCCACCTGTGGCGTTGTCTGCATTTTACTTACTTGTTGCTTTCCCTACTCTGCTTGACCCTTACTCAGTTTAAAAAAAAAAAAATTATTTGCCATAACCGCACGTTTGAAATACTACTATTGTCTACACCTAAGTCTCCATTGAAATATGACACTGTTCACCTGCCTTTTCATAAATCTTCCAGGTTGTATTTTTAGTATTCTATTTGAGACAACTGTTCAAGAAGGAAGGCCTGCGGCTGCTGTGTGCTTCCCTGCATAGCCCATAACACAATCAGAGTATGGAGCACAAGGTAGAGGGTCAAACTGTAAAATGATCAAAGCTCAAGGATGAATCAGAATAAAATGAGACCACTAACAAATCATTGTCCGATTTTTCTTTTTTGACTGAAAACGAGATAAAAGATCTTTTCATTTTGACTTGCAGTCTGAGGTCACTAGTAGCAACGATTCTTCTAGTTTTAATCAAGCATCAATAACTAATTCTAATCATTAAAATAAAAAAAACCTACAATACCGTGTTGTTTGGACTTGTATGTGAAGCAGATTTTCTTCTATCATGCTGAAAGCAGCACTGGTGCTTATATTGTAGTGTAACTGTGCTTTATGCAATATAAAATATACACAACAAATACACATATGAAGCACTCACCTCCTCCAGAGGCACTGGGGTTCAACGACGGTCTCTGAGCGCCCAACTGAGGCCAGGAAGGCAAAAGGCCAAGCCAGCAGCATCATGAATGCAGCTATGAGGAGACGGATGGGGAATAGTGTGACTGTCATCAACGCAATCTGTAAGAAATTGAAGAAATGAGAAAAAGTGTTAAAGAAATAGATCCACATCAATATAACTGTTGTAAGTCATTGCAACTGTTTTCCTTTAAAAAACACTTCAGTGTGTAGAACAGAGTGGTGAAGTTTCAGTTTGTAAACAGTGTGACAGCCTCCTTAGAGAGGACCCTCTCCAGATGTATATAAAAAGTATTCAAAGATAAAGGGTCCATTCTAGGGTAAAGAAAACAACACTTTGTACAATTTAGATGAAACACACTAGTGAAACTTCTGCCAATAGATACATTTCACCTAAATCTTACAAACTGGACCTTTAATGATTTCAGGTACAAGCTGTGCCTGAAAAAAGAAATCACTGCACCATTCAATCATTCAACAGCAAAAAAGATGCTCAAAACAGTGGGCAGTGCATTGACATTTTGTATACACACTTATCAGCATGTTGCATCATCAAAAAGAACTGTTAAATCACACTTAATCGCACACAATCACCTATAATTTCTTTGCATGTGTACAATGCTGAGCCGATGGTAAAGTAAGTACTAAGTATGCCATGGGCACAGTAGAACTGCTTTTGTTCCACTGAGGAGGTTTTGAAGATTGAAGGTGAATGGAGTGTAAGCAAGATGAGTGATATCGGACACAGTTTGACTTTAGTCAATGCAGGGTATCCTCTAAGATGTGTCACTCATGGTTTAGAGCCGTTACAATTCACTGTAAATGGTAAATGTTCTATTTGTATAGCTCTTTTCTAGTCTTGATGACAAAGCTCTTTACAGTACAGTTTTTGTCATTCCCACACTCATTCATACAGTGCATCTGCGGGCAGCACTTCTTCTTTTCTATGAGGGGCCATTTGGGGTTCAATATCTAGCCCAAGGACACTTTGGACAAGAATCCCGTAACAAACCAAAAAACTCCACCAACACTACTTTAATCAGTAGTCATGGTACATACATTTTAAGAGAGCACAGTAGAGAATGAGCATTATCTATGGATAAGAACTGTTGTAAAGATAAAAAATGCTGCATATAGTTGAACTTCCAACATCTAATGACGCTAAACTTTTTACATCATTCATGTGTCCAATACACTATACAAGGACAATAGATCTGCAGCATGGCCTCTGCACACAGCTACTAGCAACAGCTCAGCAATACGAAACACCAGCGACACTACATGAAGAGCTGAGTGTGTTACATGTACTAGACAATTTTAAGAAATTGCGGTGACACACAGCTTTTGTACAAACAATACTTCAAACATGCACATTTAAATGTTACATACAGGACATGGTGTTTGTTCACGAAGGCTGTGACAAAACCTGGAGCTTCATTGTTAGAATTAAATGGTGGCTGTTTACTTAAGCTCTTTTTATGACCCTCTGATAACACTGCTTATCTTATGTCAATATTTGTCTTATTAACAACCACTACAAATGAGTATGAAGTCTATCTTATCCAGAGATAGTTCTTGTCTGGTGGTATTGTCAATTCACATCAATCAACTGAGCATTTGCTTGTTAAACTACTGACAGAATGAGGACCAAGACAATTTCTGTTGTTGTTGTTGAGTAAACCCGAAACATAACCGTAACCATACTTATATTATGATGTGATTTTAAGGACATTATGCACCAATACTACCACTTGTTTCACAGCTACACATCACATTAGTTTTGCTTCACTGTTTAGACTTCCAAACTGTTTACTTAACCAAGATTCTCACATGAATTATGTGCTTCAACCACATATACTGTGCAATGTCTTTTGCAAATAAAAGAACAACCACTGCAAGTACTTAAGTATTTTTTTTCTATAAAAATGTTTGAGAGCCTCTGGATAATGCATTTGTTAAAAGATTTATTAAGACCCAAAGCATGAGAATGCATGAATGTCACTTAGAATTAAAATACAGGCAATGCTACAAAAGCAGAGAGGTTCACTTCGAAGCTACCCTGAATTCAGGCTTTATGTAGCGGATACCCATTTGAAAACATATCAACTGTGTCTATGTGCTTTCAGTGACAGACACACAACCATGGTTACAGATCATGCTTCATTTCAGAGTCTAACTTGTTGACCAAATACTCACTAAAAGAAAGCCCACAGCCCTTTTTTGTTAGTAGACACATGTACGAGCTTCCTGTTTCCAAAGTGCAGATGTTGCACACTTGAAAGCCAGAGCAAAGTATGGTCAGTGAGAAGATGCAGCAATGATTTAGTTTCTCAAAGTCATTAAGGTTTCTCTGTGTGCTAGGGGGACATGCAGAACAATGTAACACTAATTTATTTTGTTAGAATTTGCATGTATACATAATGATAGTAAAATGATAGTGTTTGGAATATTAGAAAGATCATAATTTGTGGACACAACAGCAGGTTTTTGTATTAGTGTGGTTTGTGTTACTTCAGGTTTCAGTGAGAATATGCAAACAACAATAAACCCATGAGTTGAAAGACTTGTAAGATGAAAAACACAGTGAAATAAAAACAGGGGAAAGGACAATTTTATAGTGGAGACCTTATAGGCTTTACGTCAACCACACCCTCTGGGCTTAATGGAAAGCAATACTTCATGTTACTGACACCTGACATTTTAACCTAGGGCTTTAGAGAAAACATTACCTTCAAATTCTGTCTGACTGCTCATGTAATTAAAGCACAAATAGACAGAAATACTGATCTATATAGTGTGGGAACAAACTATTGATTCTTACAGGATCAAAACTGATTTAGGTCTTTGTTGGGTTTCGCCAATAAACCACACAGGAATATAAATTAGGCTCGTCAAAGCTAAGCTGGCAATTACATTTACTTTGACATCAGAGGCTTTCCATCTGACACTACAACAACATTCTTGAGTTTGTGGCTGTTTTAGGACTGAAATGTTTTCAGATACAAATCACAAAAAAAAAATCACAGCAAAATGTTTTCATGCAACAGCTATGGCAATCTCTGTAGATCCATTAATTAGTTCATCAAAGTGGAAAAACTGTAAGCAAATCTTTATGTGGATTCAAAGGTCAGGATACTGAATTACAGTAGAGCCTGCTAATGAGCATCTGCAAGTCACCACACTGAATCCAACGTTTCAGGCGATTGACTAATGTGGCTATTAGTCAGAAATTGCCATGTTATTAACTACGTCCCCTTTTCACAACAGCTGTTCCTTTTGATAAAACTCAGAATCATAGATTACAAAAAGAACTTAACCGACTCCCCCACTGTGAACAACAATACCAATTCGACTTTTTACAAAAATATGTTTCATCAAGCTGCAGCCTGTTAGCTACTGCATTTATGTGCAATGGTTTTATGGTCCAGCATCGAGCAAACTCAAGGCCTGGGCTAATCCAAAACAACTAATCTGTTCCTTCCTATTACCATCAGTTACCACCCTTAATGAGGAATATGGAGGGTTTTAATATTACTTATTTGCCAAAATACAATTATGAGACAATCATATCTGTTTGTGGCCAACCACTGGATCATGGAGATGGTGACATCAGAAAAACATATAAGACCATGCATACAAAAAAAACAGAGTAGTCATGCATCATCCAGTTAGTCTGTCACCTACAAGTGATGAATAAATACATTAACTGTCAAATGTTTTAGAAACCATGACATTTTCAGGCTGCATTTTTACATATTTTAATGTCTGTGTTTCTGAACTTAAAGCACATAACAAATAAACAACTGGAGATTTTAAAAACTAGGAATCATGGAATCTTACTTTTTAATGAAAATTCCAGGGATTGTGTATCGCTCGCAGGTTGCTTTTCTTTCACCTTCTGTCCAGATCATTACAAACCAGCTCTATGAGGTTCAAGTCTGGTGACTGAGCTACTCTTCCATCATCTGGATCTTTCCTTCATGTTTTGCCTCGTTATGTTGCTATCGGTTGATCCTTTGACCATCAGCTCTGCCACTTGTCTTTTTCCTCACCATTCTCATGACAATATACAGCACTACATCCTGCAGTACAGTATTGTCTTAATACAGCATCAGAGGGTGTAGTAACAGTTTGTTCCGACATTGCATTTTGTATAGACAGTAGTCCGGCAACCTGTAGGAATTGTTTGCACTAACTTTCAAGGCTATACATTTACCTCCATGCTGAAGGAATGAAGCAACTGATTTTTTTTTTTTAATTATTGACTGACAGTGTCATTCAATAGTTTCTCTTCCAAACTACAAAAAGATTCTGTGGTTTCGTTAATGTACTGTCTAGTCAGCTCACACACAGAAGTGTCATGTTTTGCTCTAGTTTTCCGTATTTCAGTTCTGACTGCTTCTTCCTCATGTAGCTGTGGATGTGAAAGCAAGACCAGTGCAACATGCTGTAAACAGCTGTAACATCAGAACTACTAGGAATCCATGTTCCATCATTCAGTGACCCATTTTTTGCTTAGCACTTACTGTTTACAAGAAACCAGTTTTAAATGCCGAGCTACTTAGATGTCCTTAATGCAATGTTAAAACACATGTCTTTGTTTGTTGCCAAGAAGATGTCAATTAAATGTAATCCTATGTTAGAATGGGAAAATATACTTTTGGCCCAGTTGTCAAAACTTTCTGCAAATTGTAATATGCACATATAGTCTCATGGTAAAACAAACAAGCAGTATGTGATTAGTCTAAAGAAATAAGGTGCATGTAATGCTCTGTTTGTGGCGTTATGTTATACTTAGGAGAGAACATTCTTTTCCCATCAGCTTTGACCTAGCTAATGTTCTAACTTTTCCCATCAACCTCTGTCAGAATAGCCAAGTGGAAAGAAATGCGTGTGAACCTCCCCTAGTGACTATTCTTACTTGTAATAGGATCTCACACCTTATATGCCAGGGCAGCGCCATTCATAAAATGAGGCTCTCCCAATATACTTTAGTGTGTTACTGGAAATACCTCACACCTGCGCCCCAGTTCCACACTGTTTACGAACGCTAACACAGTAAATGCTATATGCTCTAATCCTAATGGTAACAGTTTTGGCAGTTAACATGCTAAGAAATGAAAAGGCTTTATTGTTTTGTGCTTACAGGTAACAATGTCATCATGGTTGGACATCAAGTCAGTACACGGCAACCTTAGAGCTGTTGCCAATTTCAGCTTTGGAAGCTTTACAATTAAAAGGCAAACGTGTCCTATCCTGGAGCTGTGAGTGAGAGTTAAGATTTCACCATTCAAACTGTTTTAGAACACAGACTGACTTTTTAACTACACTTGAACTACACAACTGAACAAGATAAGATGTAGTATATAGTATTCAGCAGGGACATAGCTTAACATCATCTGAATCCCTCCAAACGTATAGATCAGGATCTACTCAGTGTACGATTATTGCCAACCCAGGAATCAGGACAACACATTCACACTTCCTTAACTACTTAAGCTGTACTGGGTTCATTTGAGGTGAACTTCAAGGGCCCGTACGTGTTTCCAAACTATAAGCAGCTACAGTTACAAAGAAGGATATTCCAACACTCAGGCGTATACAGGATGAGTTTAGAGTTGCATCATCTGCGCATAATTCAACTCTCATTTTGAAATATTTGGAAGAAAGACAGGACTATATCAATCAGAGCCTTTCAATTCTCTGTATTTAATGTATGTGCAAGCTGCATCCCAATGATATATATTCATAGTTTGTGACCAGCGAAGCTCAAAAACAAAAAACGTGTGGCTTCAGGCTGGAGGTGGCCTGCAAGGGACCACCTCTTCCAGGGGAGCCTGAAAGCCCTAAATCTGATTATCAACAGCAATGACGGGTAGCTGGGCTACATGTCTGCAAAACAGTTTTGATTTTAATTCAATCAGGGGAGTGGATTGTTCTGAACTTGAACAGCTGGAGGGGAAATCTTTCCGAGCTGCAGATAAGGGGGGGAAATGAACATGACTGTCAGTTTCCCCATCCCATCCTCCAGCCTGCACATCCACACGTGTTGGCTGCTGGCTGACTGGGACGACCCGTTCAAGGCAACCGGGATAGATGCGAATGCAAAGGAAGCTAGAGTCCTGTGCCATGACGATAATAAATGCTAATTTCTCCGCAAAGACACGTGCTGTTGATGCACAACAACTATGGTAACAGCTAAAGAGCAACAAGCTAGGCCCGTCCTGGTCAAGCAGCCATGCTCAAATACCTGCATTGTAATTTAGCGGGTGGTGACGCGTTGGATTTCACATTTTATTCACTCATACGTGAAGCACACACCATGGCTGCAGCCGAGCATCCATTTTTAAAATGTACAGCAGCACTCAGAGGGATGCAGCGAGCAACATGTATGTCGCTAACGTTAGCAGGATGGCTAACACTAGCAATCAGGAGGGGGGGAAAAAAACCCTGGGCAAGTTAACCTGCGGTGACAGCCTCCTGTGCACCGTGTGGCCCCGAAGCAACAAGGCTCAACAAACAACTAGAGCAGGGCGCGTGTAAGCAACATGTCCGCAGGCACAACATTTACCTTCGCCTTCTCCAGGGGGGTGAATTTCAAGACGTGCACAAAAGGGTTCCTGAACGGCGGAGCTTGGTCCATCTTCTTCCCGTCTGCCTCCGTCGGACATTGTCTGTGACTCGGCAGCCTCATGCTGAAGATGGATTCCTCAATATTAAAAGAAACCTGTGGTTCCGTCAGAGAAGAGAGGGTCGTCTTCACGCTTTCAAAAAAAAAAACGCAGTCCCCCCCCTCCTCTTCCTCTGTATCTGCCTCACACCGCCTTGCTAATTGAGGTGGCAGCGCCGGGTTATTAGCGTTATCTTCCCTCCCCGGGCAGCATGGAGGGATAATGGTTAGCTCGAGGATTAGCTGGGGGTATTTGGAGTCGCCGTTGTCTCAGTGCCTCCCCGTGTGCAGGACGCCTTCCTCCCTCCGCACACACTGCGCTCCCAGTGTGTTAGCTCCGAATGCTAACCCGATGCTAGCGCAGCCACGATTCCTCCGCTCTGACAGGGCGCATGCGCAGAGGAGCGAGAAACGCGTCCAATGCCAGTGAGTCTCTCAGTGCGATGCTGCGATCGCAGTGATTTCACATCTGTAGCAGATGTTTCTCAATCGCTCACAACTCAAATCACATCCGTTCGGATCGGTCTACCTTTCAGTATTTTATTACTTTAGTTGTATTTAATTTTATATATATTCATTTTATTTTTATATTCAGTTTTTTTGCTTGTGTGCTCCTCTTTCTAAATATTTTTCAGCATGGTTAGAGGCAGCCTGTGATCCAAGACTTGCATTGCCAGCCACTGTTGCATGTAATGTTGTGCACATGACAAATAAAGTCTTGATATCTTAACATATGCAGAGTCAGAATCTGGGTTTCTTGCCAAGTAGATTTACACAACATATGAAGATATGAGCAATGTGAGCAGTAGATATTTACAACTGAAGTATGTACAATGTGCAGTTGATTTTCCATGGAAAGTTTATGCACAACAGTCACAGATGAGGACATTCATGAAGCAATGATTGCTTTTTTTAAAGTAAAAAAAATAACCCTCACTCTGTGTTGTAACCTTCATTGAACTTCATGCTTCACTACCTATATTTATGTATTTATTTTATTTTTCATACTGATATGGACCAACAAGTCTGAAATACAACTACTCTTGGTTGGACTGTCCACTGACAGATATGCACAGTTTAAATAGCTCTTAAAATATCCACTGACTGACTGCTAAGTTTGAACACTGTTCTCTTTTTATGTAAGGATGATGCAAATGTTTAAACATTTGTACATTTCTTTTATTCACAGTTTGAATAAACCCACATTGTTGCAAATAATTGTGAGCAAAGTTATGCAAGAACATAGTTCATCTTTATTAATTGTAGACGTCTTAACAACAGACCACTGGAACAAAGTATTGAAGGTTGCTGAAACAGACTGTACACACAAAATGCTGAAATATAGCACATGTCCTCTTCCTTGAGCAAGTGAAAACATGAACAAAGCATTTTCATCATGTGCTACATCTTATGGGTGGACGGAGGGGTAGACTGCACAAATGCAAAGTAGAAATAAATAGATGTCCTCCAAAAAGAGACCTGCAGCTCCACATATCTTTATGCAACCAGCTGAAAATGGTGTAGATTGACTCCATCTTTGATTACCTGGCACCCTCTATGAATTAGATACACTGGATTGTTTATTGATATTTCCATCAATATTATGTCTGATTAATGATGTGTATTCCAGCAAGTGGGACTGTTAATGTGGGGTAGTACCATCCGCTTTCCTCAGTATTATAAGCACACTAGAACTGGCGTTTTCATGTAGCATTAGAGTGGGAGCTATGGGCGATAAGAGTTGGTTTGTATTATTGGACGGCTAGAGGAAAATGTACTATAAGGGCCATGAGAGCTGTATGTCTTTTGCGTGGGTGTATACACACACAGACACACACAGACACACACACACACACACACAATTGAGTAATTGAGTGGGTGTAATGCTCTGGGTGCAGTTGGTTCTATGAAATGACTCATAACAGCCACATATGTCATGACATCATTAATATTATGTTCATAGATAATCTCTGTTTATAGCTGATTTACATGTAGTTGCAGGGAATTATAATTTGCAAACTGAAGCTAGAAGTTAATAGCCAACATATTTAAAAGTCTAACGCAAAAATGGTCAAATATAATGTTTGAATGATGACCCACAAAAAATTAACTTCCACATGAGAAACAAAAAAGTCCAGATGTGCAAGCACTTGACATTGCTCTTAAGTTTCAAAGTGAAAAGAAATATTAAGGAATTTTCTTTCAAAAGGAAGGTTAATTATTAGTGCTCCACAGATGTATAATCAATCATTTTCATTCTCATATGGAGGCTTGATATGTTTTTAGTTTTGTTTAAGTTCAGTTTTGTGACTGGTCTCAGTTTAATGGCTCTTCGTGACTGATTATTTGCTTCCATCTAGTGGTAAAAATCTCACAGTACAACCAGAGGAGCTGTATTTAAGAATAAAGTGATGGATCGTTCCACCCTCTTGATCACACTGCTCCCTCACACACGTGAACACACATTAGTTCTCATGGATCATACAAAGCCTCCTCCAATACATTTCCACCCACTCCTTAAAAGAGCTGGAGAGTAATTATAGTCCCTTTATAATTCTGAAACCCTTTCATTGGTGAAGGAGGTACTGCCTACTAGCAGCCATGGCCAGGAGGAATAACTAACTAACTTATTGTTATTGCGCAATAGAGATGGATTGGAAGTTAATCTTTTAAACAAACTTATTGAATTTATTGTGAATAATAAATAATTATGGGTGGACTTCTATCCTCAACACAGAAACATATTGCATTGACAAAGAAGTGTGGAATACAATGATTCAGAAAATTCAGAAATATATTACAGAAAAACATCCAGCCAAAAGCTGACATTCTGATCTAGATATATGTGCCAGCAACAATTTACCAGTCTTTGATTTGGATGTACCATTGATGTCAGCAGTGATTTGTCATTATCGCGTCATTGTTTTGAAGAACTCTTGTTCTCTATCATGAAATCCTCATTGACACTTTTACACCATGTGCAGGGGTGTAAAAGGAAAGCATGAGTGTGTGTGTATATGTGTGAAAGTATGTGAGTATGCAGGATATGTGAGAGCAGTAGTTAAGTTTCACATTTGTTTCAGACTAAAGCTGGTCAAAATCAGAGCAATAACCTTTTTGAAAGAAATGTTTTTTGGAAACAAGAGGAACATAATGTTGAGTAAGATAAAAGCTTCACCTGCACCACAGTGTGTAGAAGCTGAATTGTGCACACACAGCAGTTCCCCATTCGCAAACCAATTGACTGCAGTACATGTTCATAGGTACTCAAGCATAGTGTGAAAAAAGTGCTGAATTTTGGAGGCTTTATTTATCACACTTGATTTCTCTTTGTTCTCACGGCAATCATGTTTTTCTTAGGTTTTTGTAATTGCAACCATGTCAAGATCAACTAGTCAAACACACACATGCACAATTGTGGCTTGCATACTTTGTGGGCGGACACACACACACACACCATTGGACTTCTTATTTTAATTTGGGTGTGGAGCATGTCGTCAAAGTGCCCTGTGGGCTGACCATATCGGGTCGTGACATTTGCATTTGACAGGAATCACATCAGACAGGGTTAATACTGGAGAGAGTGGATGGATAGAAAAAAAAGAAGAAAAAATAGTGGAAAAGGTTTCCCCCTGTTCCTCCCACACCCCCTTCCCTCTCTATTTCCCCCCTTCAATCCCATAGCTGAGGTGCTTAAATTAAAAAGGAAGAAATGCAATTTAAAGACATGGGGTAAACAATCACAAAACACTTGTTTCTGGAGGAGACACAATTTCCTGCTGCCTTGTCCAATTTCTTATGGCCTGGAGGGCTGCCGCATGCGTTTTAACACCTGGTTCTACACTGCTGATTAAAATTGTAATGCCAGTGTTGAATCAATCCATATGACATTTTGGAAATACACAAGTACCAGGACGTTATATGGACAGCATTTTTTTTCTATTGTTTTCATTTGAAACAAAAAGGTGTAAGGTGGTGACTCACACTGGGTGTCAGTGCTATGCCTTCCAACTGTTTGAAGAGAGAAAAAAATAAAGTTTCAATATCCTAAACGAATATAAATGTGTTATTATCTTTTGTTCTACAGAGTATTTACTCAAAAGCTGTATGTGCTGGATACTGATTAACCAAAAATGGGCCAGTTTTGAATGAATGTATGTGGTTAATCATCATTAAATATAGTCTTTATACTTCATATGTTTTCTCACAAAGTAGAGGTCAGTGGAGAATTAAGCTTTCAGGATCATGCACAAAAACTTGAATGACTGAAATGTCTCTAAGTAGCAGGACCCTCAAAAGTGGATGTAGGGGTACAGGACTTTATCAAATGTTCCACATTAACAACGCAGGCCTACATACATGCCAGTTAATAACTATGTACAAATATGTTGTATAATTATAAGAATAAAATAATACAAAATTAACTCGGCATTGGACTCAGTAACATTAAATACTGCTGTATAATTGGCATTGCACCTTTGAACTCAATAAACCTGAACAGTTTCTTGCACATGAAATGTTGCCATATAGGAAATTGGAAGACCAACTGTGTCCAGCTGAAACAGAAGCAGAGGCACTCAGAGAAAGACTTACAGCAGATTAGTGGCCAATTTAAAATACACCTGAGAATGATCATTTTACAGTGGCCGGAATGAGCGAAAGGGGAAAGAGAGGAGGGAGAATGAGAACAAGAGAGAGACTGTCCAGATTTTTGTACCACTATTATACCACTATAGCCCTCAGGCCAAACATCTGAGGCAGAGTGACAGACGGACCGTTGTTTGCTTCACACCACAGTAATGTTTTACCAGCACCTGCGCCCATGTCAATCAATGGGCCGCATGTTCCAAAACATATTCAACACACAAAGAGAACACTTTGGCTTGAGGAAATGGATTGTGCGCAAGATTGGCAGGGGGACTCTCTGGACGTGTCAATCACAAACGGCCCTTTGTTTTTACCCCTGTCCTAAGCTTTGAGAACAAAGACGATTTACCTTTGTCTTTGTTTGGGATATAAACATGTGAATTTTTTATTTTGCATTTGGATTGAGGTGAAAGAGACCTTTTTTTTTCTGCGATGAAAAAAGCTCAAAGCACAGGGGATTTTGTCAAAAGCCACAGGTGACGGTGCCATTCAACTCGGTGCAGCATGCTTTTTTTATTGTCTTTTTTTGGAGGTGCATCTTCACATTTCATGATACGGGGATGATGAGTGCAGGATGAGAGGAGTATAAGGGCGGGAAGACAATCAGATTGTTCGCATTTGAAACCACATTTTCACACAACGAACAAGTGAAATCTGAGAGAGTTGCCAGTCCCGTCCCTGGCATCAAATCTAAGCGGCTTCTCTCTTGTTTTTTTCCCCCCTTTCTTCTCATCTCCCTCCTCCCGCCTCTTGTCCTTTCTTCCTGTCTGGCCTCTCCAGGTGCCGCGCTATCTCACAGC